GAGGGGATGTGGGGGGGGGGGGGAGGGGGGTTCTAGGCGTCCAGGGGTAGCCATCAAGAGCTCCAGGCTCACCAGACTTCACAGGCACATCAGTGGAGATCCAATTAGGAGTCAGTGGTCAGCGACTGATGTGACAGACAGAATGGACGCGGATCCTCAACACGGGAGAGACACCGGCCACGCTCATGGAGTCCACTTCGTTCCAGGGTACTTCAAGAGCCTGCACTGGTCCCGGTTCTCTTCCTCCATCAGCATCACAGGCCTCCTCCATGTTGGAGGCCTCAGGGAAACCTCTTCCTTCACACCAGCCTATGGCCACCCCCAGGCTTCGGCCTAGCTCGGGGGGCAGGCTGAACAGCACCCAGCCCTATTCCATCGCTGGTCCCAGCTAGTCTGAGCACATGGCAAAGCCCTCCAGTCTATGTTCCCTATCCCAGCATGCACCACTGGCTGAGAGAAACCCAGTGATTGGCTCCCGTACTGTACATACACTACAGTGTCTCCTATTGGCTGTCCCACAGTATGAGTCACACTCCGCCCGGAGGGGGGTGCAGGCAATGCCAGACACCGGCAATTAACCAGATAACTGCCCCTATAAATCCAGCCAGGCCGACTACAGCCCCCGGCTATCACTAAATGCCCAGTAGCCACATCGCAGAAGGAGACGCTGGGGGGCTACAAGTATAAAATGAGATCTGATGAGGAAAGAAACAACCTCGGCTGACGGCGAAGCTTTTGAAACTTTATTGGGAAGAACAAAGATACAAAGTGACAGAAAAGAATAGACAGCAGAGAAATAAATGTGTGAGGTAAGGTTACCAGATCTTCAGAATGAAATATGGGGGGGGGGCACCCTACTAACCACGCCCACTTGTAACTGCGACGTACGCCCGGCCCGAACCCGCTGCACGTCAATCACACGTGACGCAGTTCTGAGCCGAGCGTGGCGTCACAAGGACGCGGCGATACCGCTCTCAGCCTCACCCTGCGCAGAGATTTCCCAGCTCGCGGGACAACAATCTCAGGCCGGCAGACTGACAGCGAACGTCAGCAGGGTTGGTTAACTCCGCAGTAAGACCCCGTTCACATATAGCGACATACCTTTGCCGCGGCCGGGATAGTGCGACTTTCGGGGCGACGGTAGCGCGACCTTCTCCGTCGGGCTCCATAGAAAAAAAGCAAAATCGCGCAAAATCCACCGAAAAAAGGGTCCTGTAGAAGGGACGCGCGACATGGAGTTAAGACAGCTCCATTGCCTATCATTAGCCGGCGACTTCTCGCGATATCGCGCGGCAAAAATGCGCGATATCGCGGCGGAAATCGCGCGACAATTCGCTATATGTGAACGGGGCCTTAACCCTTTACACACCAAACGTTCACTGCCACCACGTACTATACCGAAGCACGCACCGATCCCAGCAAATGCTCTGTCCTCTCATAGAGGAATATGACCGATCACTGTACAGTACAGTCTATGATACCTCTGTCCCCTCATAGAGGAATTGATCGGTCATATTCCTCTATGAGGGGACAGAGATATCATAGACTGTACTGTATAGTGATCGGTCCTATTCCTCTATGAGAGGACAGAGGTATCATAGACTGTACTGTACAGTGATCGGTCATATTCCTCTATGAGGGGACAGAGATATCATAGACTGTACTGTACAGTGATCGGTCCTATTCCTCTATGAGAGGACAGCGGTATCATAGACTGTACCGTATAGTGATCGGTCCTATTCCTCTATGAGGGGACAGAGATATCAGAGACTGTACTGTACAGTGATCGGTCCTATTCCTCTATGAGAGGACAGAGGTATCAGAGACTGTACTGTAGGGCTGGGAAGGGAGAGCAGGAGGGACGAGCCTCTACGATTCCCTCCTCTGCGCCTCCCAAATGTTTCAATTCATAACTAAGATGATAGTGGTCGGAGTATTCATACCCAATATGGTCCGGCAACCCCTAAATGATGATGTCATGAAGTTACCGTTAGATTGAATCTAAATAGGTGAATACAGTACCATGTGCGGTGAATAGGTACGATCGTTATTGCCCCTTTAAGACATGCCCAATATTTAGCACTATGTAGCCACGCCCACTTCTAGCCCTTTATCCTGCTGTCTGATATTCTAAAGTTACGAGATAATGAACTCCAGCCTTCCAGTCTTGCCAGGCGGTGCAGGCTCCTCCCCCTGTACTAAACTGATGTTTAGCATAGTAAGAGTTCCTATTAATCTGGGGGGCTCAGCATCACATGTGGGTGCGGTCTGTATGCAAATACTGCCTGCCTAGCAACGCCCACTCCTCCAGACTGACACCCACCCATCAAGGCATTTTGATATTTGCATAGCTCCTCCCAAGAACCCGCCCACTGCTTGCATCAGGACTGAGAGCTCCTGAGAGGAGAACTGTGGCAGGGTGGTGTGATGGTTTCAGGAAGCTATGTACTGGCCCCTCCCACCAGCCATGATCTGCCTACTGGCCCCTCCCACCAGCCATGATCTGCCTGCTGGCCCCTCCCACCAGCCATGATATGCCTACTGGCCCCTCCCACCAGCCATGATCTGCCTACTGGCCCCTCCCACCAGCCATGATCTGCCTGCTGGCCCCTCCCACCAGTTATGAGCTGCCTGCATTGCATAGAGAAGCACAGAGACCCCTGCGTCTATAATAAGGGGTGTAATGACAACGGAAAGGTTGTATCATACTGATGGATCCCCGTTATGGAAGCAGGAAGTGGGGAGCAGATGATGGGGGACCCGGAAAGCAAAATGATTTTATTTCTTTGGGAATAGTTTTGCAGCAAAGAAACATCGGCTCCATTTTATTGTTGTCTGTGTCCCCCCTGGCGGAGATTTGCACCTCCCTCACTGCTGCGGTGACACGCGCCGGGTCTGTCAAGACGATTTTAGGAGGAGTTGTCACTGACGCAGGGTTTCACCAGCGGGAGATTCCCCACACTTCCTGTCCTGGTGGCAGCTGAATCGCTTCGCTCTCATCTTGTTGTCACCAGAGAAGGATGAGACGGGAAATCTCTGTCAGGTGTCTATAACAATAACAATGGTGGCTTCTACCGCTGCCGTCCAACTACAAGAGTACCTGTCATAGCGGGGAACAGGAGCAGGCAATCTCTAGCACTTCATCTGTGTACCTACTACAAGTCCCAGGAGGCACTGCAATACTCCAACAGCCACGGACGTGACTCCCAGAGGCATGATGGGATTTGTGGTTTCACTGCAGCTGGAGTCTTCCCACCTCACTGTACAATATGCAGTTTTTGGTGTCACCCCCTCTGAAAAGTCGGGCACTCGGTCACGGACAGGATGGTCAGGAGAGAGGAGGGGACCCGGCGGCAAACCTCATCCCGCCGGGTGAACGTCCTCTCCTATCTCTGCCGGCGTCCATCACCAAGATGACAGCACATGCATGATCACGTCATTGCGCATGTGTGATGACATCACAGCAGGTTGTCACCCATTCTCCGCTCCTCGGGACGCCCCTGCAATCAGACAGCTTCAGTATATTCGGTTGTGATATGAAAAGGAAAGAGAGAAGCTGATTGGTTGTCACGGGCAGCGACTCCTCCCATTGTACGGCTCTGTGATTGGCTCCGGAGATTTCTCTGTAAAGAGATACAAATGTCCGGCCCCCGGCTTCCTCCCCCCCCCCTCCTCTACAAGGACGATATCACGGAGGAGGATCCGAGGCTCCTCCCATCATTGGGTAAGGGAAGACTTCATCACTATTATATACTATTCAGAGAAGCCTTCCATCCACAGAGGGGGCTGTAGGCCGAGTCTACCACAGTGGTGGTCAACCAACCATGATCTGATGTAAGCAGGGGGCTGGCACTTGGGGGGAGTTATGCAAATATCAAAATGCTTTAATGGATGGGTGTCAGTCTGGGGGAGGGGCGTTCCTAGGCAGCCTACATTTGCATGAAGACCGCCCTAGGTAACTCGCACATGTGATGCTGAACCTCCATGATGGAAGGAACTGAAAATCAATGAATTAAAGGGGCGGGGCCAGGGACAGTCAGGCTGGGGAGGAAAGGGCTATATGCTGCTGATCGTCCTCCAGCCTGGAAATTAGGCTCTATGTGACTTGCTGCAGCTTCCAAGGCACATTGTGAGAAGCTCCCAGTGTTCAGTGATATCAGAGGAAGCAATTTCAGTCCAGGAAAGGAGCCGGTACAACTGTGAAGACTGAAGGGGAGGACGGAGGTCAGACAGAAGACTGAAGGGGAGGTCGGAGGTCAGATAGAAGACTGAAGGGAAGGACGGAGGGCAGATAGAAGACTGAAGGGAAGGACGGAGGTCAGATAGAAGACTGAAGGGGAGGATGGAGGTCAGATAGAAGACTGAAGGGAAGGACGGAGGGCAGATAGAAGACTGAAGGGAAGGACGGAGGTCAGATAGAAGACTGAAGGGGAGGATGGAGGTCAGATAGAAGACTGAAGGGAAGGACGGAGGGCAGATAGAAGACTGAAGGGAAGGACGGAGGTCAGATAGAAGACTGAAGGGGAGGATGGAGGTCAGATAGAAGACTGAAGGGAAGGACGGAGGGCAGATAGAAGACTGAAGGGAAGGACGGAGGTCAGATAGAAGACTGAAGGGGAGGATGGAGGTCAGATAGAAGACTGAAGGGAAGGACGGAGGGCAGATAGAAGACTGAAGGGAAGGACGGAGGTCAGATAGAAGACTGAAGGGGAGGATGGAGGTCAGATAGAAGACTGAAGGGAAGGACGGAGGGCAGATAGAAGACTGAAGGGAAGGACGGAGGTCAGATAGAAGACTGAAGGGGAGGATGGAGGTCAGATAGAAGACTGAAGGGAAGGACGGAGGGCAGATAGAAGACTGAAGGGAAGGACGGAGGTCAGATAGAAGACTGAAGGGGAGGATGGAGGTCAGATAGAAGACTGAAGGGAAGGACGGAGGGCAGATAGAAGACTGAAGGGAAGGACGGAGGTCAGATAGAAGACTGAAGGGGAGGATGGAGGTCAGATAGAAGACTGAAGGGAAGGACGGAGGGCAGATAGAAGACTGAAGGGAAGGACGGAGGTCAGATAGAAGACTGAAGGGGAGGATGGAGGTCAGATAGAAGACTGAAGGGAAGGACGGAGGGCAGATAGAAGACTGAAGGGAAGGACGGAGGTCAGATAGAAGACTGAAGGGGAGGATGGAGGTCAGATAGAAGACTGAAGGGAAGGACGGAGGGCAGATAGAAGACTGAAGGGAAGGACGGAGGTCAGATAGAAGACTGAAGGGGAGGATGGAGGTCAGATAGAAGACTGAAGGGAAGGACGGAGGGCAGATAGAAGACTGAAGGGAAGGACGGAGGTCAGATAGAAGACTGAAGGGGAGGATGGAGGTCAGATAGAAGACTGAAGGGAAGGACGGAGGGCAGATAGAAGACTGAAGGGAAGGACGGAGGTCAGATAGAAGACTGAAGGGGAGGATGGAGGTCAGATAGAAGACTGAAGGGAAGGACGGAGGGCAGATAGAAGACTGAAGGGAAGGACGGAGGTCAGATAGAAGACTGAAGGGGAGGATGGAGGTCAGATAGAAGACTGAAGGGAAGGACGGAGGGCAGATAGAAGACTGAAGGGAAGGACGGAGGTCAGATAGAAGACTGAAGGGGAGGATGGAGGTCAGATAGAAGACTGAAGGGAAGGACGGAGGGCAGATAGAAGACTGAAGGGAAGGACGGAGGTCAGATAGAAGACTGAAGGGGAGGATGGAGGTCAGATAGAAGACTGAAGGGAAGGACGGAGGGCAGATAGAAGACTGAAGGGAAGGACGGAGGTCAGATAGAAGACTGAAGGGGAGGATGGAGGTCAGATAGAAGACTGAAGGGAAGGACGGAGGGCAGATAGAAGACTGAAGGGAAGGACGGAGGTCAGATAGAAGACTGAAGGGGAGGATGGAGGTCAGATAGAAGACTGAAGGGAAGGACGGAGGGCAGATAGAAGACTGAAGGGAAGGACGGAGGTCAGATAGAAGACTGAAGGGGAGGATGGAGGTCAGATAGAAGACTGAAGGGAAGGACGGAGGGCAGATAGAAGACTGAAGGGAAGGACGGAGGTCAGATAGAAGACTGAAGGGGAGGACGGAGGTCGGATAGAAGACTGAAGGGGAGGACGGAGGTCGGATATTTGTATCCTCTCTCCTGGTGTTGGTTTGCTGGTAACTTATTTTTGCTCCGTTTCTCTTTTCTTCCAGATGACAGAGATAAGGGAGCACAGAGTCGTATTGTCTCCCCGGATCGAGACATCAAAGTTGAGGACGTCTCCGCTGCTTCAGGAGGTGACCTCATCCCTCTGGACCTTCCTCAGAATCTTCTCTGTGAACCTCCCCCCTCAGACCCCCCTACACTTGGGGTTTCTCTTCCTGATCATGGACCTGGTGCCCCCCATCCTCCGGCCCCCGCAATGTGTGACACTGTATCATCTTCTGACCTCGGAGAGCCATTCACTAAGAGAGAAGAAGTTGTCCCACCGCCTGTTGAGGACACTCCAAGTTCCTGTCCCAAACCTCAGGAAATTCTTCCCGGCAAATCGGAACTCCCCAGACCCGAGCGAGTCCCCAAGTCATATTCCTGCTCCAAGTGCGGGAAAAGCTTCAACCGCAAATCCATGTTCATCATCCACAAAAGATCTCACACCAACCAGAAGTTGTATTCATGCCCGTTGTGCGGGAAGATTTTCCCCCAGCAGTCGGATCTGGCCAGACATGAGAAGATCCACACAGGGGTGAGACCCTATCCGTGTTTGGAATGCGGAAAACGTTTTTCGCAGAAATCGGATCTCGTGAAACATCAGACGGTTCACACGGGTGAGAAGCCGTATTGCTGCCCCAAGTGCGGGAAGTGTTTCTCCCATAATTCTTCTCTCACCAGGCACAAAAGGCTGCACACAGGGGAGAAGCCATATTCCTGTAAAGAGTGTGGGAAATGCTTTCCTCGCAAACCAGATCTCAGCAAACACGAAGTGGTTCACACGAGGCAAAAGTTGCATTCGTGTTCCAAATGCCAGAAATGTTTTGCGCACAAATGGAATCTTATCCGACATGAGAGACTTCACAGGGAAAGCAAGTCCTATCCGTGTCCTATATGTGGCAAAATCTTCGCCCGCAGATGCAACCTCTTCCTACACAAGGAGGTCCATGCGAGAGAAAAGTTGTTTTGGTGTTCTGTGTGCGGGAAATGTTTTCCCCAGCAAGCGGATCTTTTCAAACATGAGACAGTCCACGCGGAGGTGAAGCCGCATTTGTGTGCTGAGTGTGGAAAACATTTTTCCCAGAAATCCGATCTCGTGAAACATCAGGTGGTCCACACGGGAGAGAAGGCCTTCTCCTGCTCCAAATGTGGTAGATGCTTTTCCCACAGATCGTCCCTTACTAGACACGAAAGGATCCACGCGGCGGAGAATCCGGACAATTTGTGTAACCAGTGTGGGAAAAGCTTTGCTCGAAAGTCAGATCTCAGCAAACATGAGCTGGTTCACGCGAGGGAGAAGCCTCATTCCTGTTCTGAATGTGGACAATGTTTCCGACGCAAATCGGATCTTGAAGAGCACGTAACAGTTCACACGGGGGAGTTGTATTCATGTTCCACGTGTGGGCAGAGCTTTTCCCGCACGTCGGATCCTAATGACCACGAAAGAGTCCACATGTTGGGAGGAGACGTGAATATGTTACAAATGCAGGAAAACGTTTCTCTGGAAGTTCCATCAACTCAGACGTGAAAGAGTTCCCATGGTGCGGGAAAAGTTGTATTCTGGTTCCCAATGCGGAAAATGTTCTTCCTGCAATGTGGATCCTATAGCACACCAAGTGGATCAAATGGTGAAGTCAAATTTAGGCTCAAGGTGTGGGAAGTGTTTTTTTGTGGAAGTCGACTCTCATTAAAGGTGGAAGACTTCATGTGAAAGTCGTATTTGAGTTCCGAATGTGTGGATCCTATTGAACGCATAGCTCAGAAGTTGTGTTCAGTGGTTTTCCTTCAGGTTGAAGAACCGGAGAGAGTTGACCCAAGGAATGCCGGACAATGTTCCAGCATAAGAGGGTGGAGGGGAGCTGCATTCCTGTTCCCAGTGTGGGAAATGTTTTCCATGTAAAGTGGATCTCATCGCACTAACCATTCACAGCGGGAGGAGACGGGATTATGGTCGGAGTTCAGGAAGTTCTTTCTTTCCGTGGAGGTTGATTCCTATAAGACACAAAGTCTTCACGTGGGGGGGGAGGGTTGAGTCACATTCCCAATCCAAATGTGGCAAATCTTACTGGTGAAAATTGTCTCTTACCAAAGATGAGGAAAGTTGACACACGGGAGAAGTCCAAATGTCGGAAAGTGTCTTCTCAGGCCTAAAAGACTTCACATCGGGAGGACGCCCAATTTGTGTGCCATAGGTGGGAAATTGTATTCTACCTTGGTTTCCATGAATGAGTTGTCTCAGGAAGGAAGCTGGAGTTGTGTTTTGGAGTGCGGGGTGTTGTCAGACATCACAGGACTCGCACCATCAGGTCTATTCACAGAAGGGGGAGGAGTTTGGAGAAGGGAACAATCTAGGACAACAGAGCTGGATTGGAGAATTTTTCCAAATCGGCGATGTCCTAGATTGTTCCCTTCTCCAAACTCCTCCCCCTTCTGTGAATAGACGTGTATGTGATTGTCTGAAGGCACCAAAGACCAATTGGAAGAATCACATTCACTCATACAGGAGAGAGTCCACTTAGGTGGCCGCTCGTATTCTTGTTCTAGGGGAAATCCTCCCCTATGTCCAATCTCAGGAGAGTCAGCGTGCCTGAAGCCCATATTTGTATCTTTGGATAGAGTGGTGAGGGGGGCAGAACCTCTGTTTTTAATGCTGTCTTTGTCCCTGAACCTCCTTACTGGTCCTGAGAACAATTGTCATCAGGACTGAAAGTTATGGAAAATCCAAAATGGAAACCTAGAAGAATGACATCAGGAAAGGACCAAGTCGGCCATTTTTTATTGTTGTTTTTAACCTTGTTGTCCGAGTTTGTCCCAATCGTGTTTAAATGTACTTATTGTTGACTGACTCCCGACCTCTGCTGGAAGTCTGTCCAAAAACATCAAATACTCCGTTCTGGGAAATAATACTTTCTAAGGTTAGTCTTGAACTTCCTCCTGCTACCATAGTATGAGGTCATGTTCCTGGGTTCTTGACCTCCGCTTTATACTGAAAATCCTGCCAACCTGAACCTCATTGTCACCCTTCATGTATTAAAGGTTTCAGTAATGTTCCTTCTTTCCTCCACACTGGACATGTGAAGTTCCTGCCGTCTCTCCGGATATGTTTATCCCTCAGACCTTTAGAACAATCAGGACCTTCTTCCTCCTGCTTGGGATCCCTCTAGTGATAATAAAGATCTATATAGAGGGATCCGGACCTCCTTCCTCCTGCTGGCGATCCCTCTAGTGATAGATCTATATAGAGGGATCCGGACCTCCTTCCTCCTGCTGGCGATCCCTCTAGTGATAGATCTATATAGAGGGATCCGGACCTCCTTCCTCCTGCTGGCGATCCCTCTAGTGATAGATCTATATAGAGGGATCCGGACCTCCTTCCTCCTGCTGGCGATCCCTCTAGTGATAGATCTATATAGAGGGATCCGGACCTCCTTCCTCCTGCTGGCGATCCCTCTAGTGATAGATCTATATAGAGGGATCCGGACCTCCTTCCTCCTGCTGGCGATCCCTCTAGTGATAGATCTATATAGAGGGATCCGGACCTCCTTCCTCCTGCTGGCGATCCCTCTAGTGATAGATCTATATAGAGGGATCCGGACCTCCTTCCTCCTGCTGGCGATCCCTCTAGTGATAGATCTATATAGAGGGATCCGGACCTCCTTCCTCCTGCTGGCGATCCCTCTAGTGATAGATCTATATAGAGGGATCCGGACCTCCTTCCTCCTGCTGGCGATCCCTCTAGTGATAGATCTATATAGAGGGATCCGGACCTCCTTCCTCCTGCTGGCGATCCCTCTAGTGATAGATCTATATAGAGGGATCCGGACCTCCTTCCTCCTGCTGGCGATCCCTCTAGTGATAGATCTATATAGAGGGATCCGGACCTCCTTCCTCCTGCTGGCGATCCCTCTAGTGATAGATCTATATAGAGGGATCCGGACCTCCTTCCTCCTGCTGGCGATCCCTCTAGTGATAGATCTATATAGAGGGATCCGGACCTCCTTCCTCCTGCTGGCGATCCCTCTAGTGATAGATCTATATAGAGGGATCCGGACCTCCTTCCTCCTGCTGGCGATCCCTCTAGTGATAGATCTATATAGAGGGATCCGGACCTCCTTCCTCCTGCTGGCGATCCCTCTAGTGATAGATCTATATAGAGGGATCCGGACCTCCTTCCTCCTGCTGGCGATCCCTCTAGTGATAGATCTATATAGAGGGATCCGGACCTCCTTCCTCCTGCTGGCGATCCCTCTAGTGATAGATCTATATAGAGGGATCCGGACCTCCTTCCTCCTGCTGGCGATCCCTCTAGTGATAGATCTATATAGAGGGATCCGGACCTCCTTCCTCCTGCTGGCGATCCCTCTAGTGATAGATCTATATAGAGGGATCCGGACCTCCTTCCTCCTGCTGGCGATCCCTCTAGTGATAGATCTATATAGAGGGATCCGGACCTCCTTCCTCCTGCTGGCGATCCCTCTAGTGATAGATCTATATAGAGGGATCCGGACCTCCTTCCTCCTGCTGGCGATCCCTCTAGTGATAATAAAGATCTATATAGAGCAGTGGTTCTCAACCTGTGTGTCGCGACCCAAAAGTGGGTCACAACCCACTGTTGAGGGGGTCACCACATGCTTTGTGCTGCACTAGGTGAGAGGCTCCTCAGCCACCTCCTAGAACAGCATTGTCAGTTCTCCGACCGCGCCGCTCGATGGTGCTGCAGCACCGGCAGCTGAGGAGGATCAAAGAGAGGGGAGTTGAATGCCGGCTTGACCACCAAAGAGCCCACACTGGCCACCTGAGAGCCCACACAGATACTAGTATTGGTGCATCCCTAAATTTTACCTTTGGGGGTCACCACAACCTGGCAAATGTTACCGAGGGGTCCCAGCCCCAGAAAGGTTGAGAACCACTGATATAGAGGGATCAGGACCTCCTTCCTCCCGATATTCACGAATTGTCACCTCAACAGGAATAAAGGGGAAATCTTCCATTTTTAACACGTGTTCCAGTGACAGTTTCGATTTCCTCGCTTTGTAGAGTTTCCCTTTTGATTTCTTGTTTTGTCTCCTTGGCAGGAAGTGACAGTAACTCTCCCCAAACGGCGTACATGAAATCCAAAGCTAAGCAGGAAGTGTATTGTAGGTTTGGGGTGATGGAAGCGCTCGCATGGCGTTGGAAATGTTGTCATTACTTTAATAAAAAGATACAGAAATCCTCGGCCCGCCCCTCCTTCTACAGAACAATAAAATGGGTTTTACGAGTATAAAAATGAGAGCTGATGAGGAAAGAAACAAACTCGTCTGACGGCGAAGCTTTTGAAAGTTTGAGAAGAACAAAGATACTGTCAGGGCTGGAATAATGGGCCAGGTGTGGAACCCCTTGGCAGGGACGAACAATGTTCAGAAAACGCTGTACAAAAGGATAATCCAATCGGGTAGTCAGGTCCAGTTCCGGGTCGTGACGGGCAGCAGGAATCGTAGTCGAAGGGTCAAGCAAAAGGGTCGGTAGCCGGGAAGTCAGATCAAACAACGGGTTCACAGGAGGGAGCTGGGTGTTCACCATGAGGTAGAATAACTCCGCAATGAGTCAAGGCTCTGACCAGCTTTAAATACACAGGGAACCCAGTACCGCCCCCTGGCTGCCAGGGCAACCAGGAAGCTTCCCAGTCAGAGTCCAATCACAAGGCTGAGGGCAAGTGGTGAAGGCTGAAGTCGTCCCCCAGCCTGAGTTTCACCTGTGGCTTGGAATGGCGCAGGCGCACTACGCTCGCACGTCCGCGCATGGCTTGCGTACCGCGCATGCAGCGCGCGACCTGCGCA